GTTGGATGGGGGTTGGATGGAGGTTGTATTGACAGGGGGCTGGTTGTCTCCTCAGGTCTCCTCCGCCCAGAACAACAAGACAACAGACCCTCCCACCACTGCCGCCAAGCCCAGAGTGAGTCCCCCCACCTCACACACAGCTTCTTCATCCCTCCTCCTCCTCCTCCTCCTCTCTGCATCACCACAAACACCACCCATTTTACATCAGCCCATATCACACCACACCAGGGTTCACATGTACAGATGGATATTCCCATCAGTCCACATGGCAGTTTGCCCTCGTTTGATTCATCGGTAGTTTTATTTAAAACATTTAGAGATGCAGCATATGTGACATCAGTGAGTAGATTTCATGGAGACAAATCATGTTTAGTCCCGAAATATGAAATATGATTTTGTGTACATTGTGGGGCACTGAGGTTTATAAAGGTGGATCTGTTTGTAATCAGGGTGACATAATCAGAAAATTAAGATACAGAATCATTTAACTCTTATATGTTGCATCTATCTATGTTGGTAAAGCAAACTTTAGACGGTGATTACGTTGTATGGTTATTTATAGAGATCATTTAAAAGGCAGAGTTATAAACAAAAAAGTCTACAAATTGTTTTAAACTTTTACAGTTTCTATTTTGATAAAAGACGTCCCATAAATTAAAGTTGTGGGAAATGGTTTTGGCAGCTACAAGAAAACACCAGGTTTTTTAGCATCAGCATAAAGGCTGCAGAGGGATTAGCATCAGTCAATCACTCCATCTGATAACAGGAAATCCCTCTTCAAACCAAAGTGCCCTTCCAAAAACACGGTGGTCCTTATTGAGCAGTTCTTTTCAGTTTTTGCTCGTATTATTATAGTTCAGAGTAACAGACTTTAAGAATTCCATTTTTACTTTTCTACTCCACCTTAGCACATCCTAAGTTTAACATCAGTACATTAAGCCAATGGACCTCCTCTTTCATATTTGACCAGCACCATAATTCACGAGTATCCATTTGAACAAACACTTCCTAGAGACCGACTTTGCTTAACGTTGCTTTTTGTATGAAGTTGAATTCCAATTTTTGTCCCAGTCTTGCCCCAAAGTCATCATTAAGCCATATATTGATGAATATCCTCTCTGTGCTCTTTGGTTAATTCTACATGCTGCTGTCGACCCCACAGAAAAAAACGGCTGAGTGGAAAACAAAATGAAGATTTTTCTCTAGAAAATGGAAACCCTGATGATCCGTCTCAGTTAATATCTCCGTTCCTGCATTCGGCAGAAACTTTTCTCCAAAGCGACTTAAAAAGCAGATACATTACATTCAGCATCAACATAGAAGGAAATAACTGGTCAGACTCTGGTAGAGGCAGCAGAGATAGAGGGAAGAACAGAAAGAGTAGCAGAGGGGTAAGAGTTAGAGGAGGAGTTCAGCTATTTCTTTAACTACCAAAACTCCCCCAAAACAGAAGCACTAGAGATAGTACTACAAGTAAACTCTACAAACTCCACCTGGAGTTTTGTTTTTCACTGGGGCGATTTTTGAAGGTCTGTAGATAGTTGTTACTAAGCAATTCAGTCAAGTCTTTCAAATGTTGCACCCTATAAACCGGGGCTCTTCTTTGTTCCACCACTGCTGTCGGTACCCTGCCGTCCCCCTTAAGCCTGTTAGCCACCGTTTGAGTCATTCCTCTCCGATAAGGAGACGTGATGATCCAGAGCTGCTCAGAAACGGGAGCTGTGCTCTAGAAATCAATTAGGATGTTTACAACGTGCTATTAAAGTGAAAAAATACAGAGGGGAAAATGGTGTTTACAAGGCTGCTGCTCATTCCATGCATGTGTGTATGTGTATGTGTGTGTTCTAAGTGTGAAGCGTGTGTGTGTGTGTGTGTGTGTGTGTGTGTGAGGCGTGTGAGTGTGTGTGTGTGTGTGTGTGTGTGTGCTAACTGCTCAGTGAGTCATCCGTTGCTGGTGCCACCTGCGTCATCGCGCCATTTCCATCCAGCAGCAGCAGACTTAAGACACACACACAAAGACAGGATGAAGGTGTCTGGAGTTTTTTATGTTACAACCACAAAAGAAGGCTGGAATCACAACAACAAGTGGTTTCTACTTTCATCTGGTGTGAATAGGTGTGTGTGTGTGTGTGTGTGTAGACGGGGGGGGGGGGGGGTTTTTTCCTGCTCTACAGCTGAATAATAATAACATGGAGCTTAGCTTGATTCTTAGAGGATGAGACATTCATTTAGCCATTAGGGGACAAGACTGTATACAGGTTTTCTTAATGCTGAAATACTCGGCTTAACAACAGAAATAATCATGTTTACAGTCTTGAATTGAAATATTCTGTTAGTGTCAATAGTACATTTTTCCTGTTCAGAGCAATTTTTAAGGATGGTTTACTTTTTAGTTATGTTCCTCTTTTTCTGCATTTTTGGGGGAGTGGTTGCTATGAGTGACGGGTAAGTGCTGTGACTTAATTACTGGGGACATGCAAAGTGTCCTCAACTGTTAGTCTAATCCAAAGTGCAAGCCTATATATGATGACATGACAACCCCAAGGCTTCAAATCAGTTGTCTTCCTGGTGACCTTTAGCATTAGCCGGGCACAAATGTAATCAAATAGTGTATAAACCCTTTTTATGGGGACCCTAATTAAAATGAAATCATTAAAAGTTGTTTATCCTGTTAGACATGAGTAAAGCTCTAAAAGGTCTCAGGTTAGTTTTAACAACAGGTTTTCAAAAATACAATCTTACAGCAAAAACAAAATTAATTTGACATAATTAAGTCAGAAAAACACAGAAAAGACTGGAGAGAGACAAAAAACAGATCTTAAAGTCTCATCGTACAGCTTTTATATGGTCAGAGTCTGGTTAAGCCTTTTCGTTTCTTAACAAAAAGCAGTAGTTATCCCTCCTGGTTTGTGTTTTGATCAACATTTCAGATTCCTCCTGTCCAGGATAGTGGTGCTATGTCTGTTCTCAGGCTATAAATGGGCCATTTTGAACAGTTCTCAAACTTATTTTCACCATTGTTTCAGGAGAAAAATGCATTTTTACGTTTTGTGTTAGAATATATGTGTGAATTAGTTAAATGCAGTTTATTCCTACATAACAGTAAAATTAGTAATTTACCTCACATTACCTTTTTCAGAGTAATATGTAGTAAAACAAATAATACTGGTGGTTTTGTCGATCGTTTGAGTAAAAATCTTTGTGATCCAGACTTTTAATACTGGTCAGTGGTTTGTTTTTGCTGTGACTCATGAGCAGGGCTCTCTTTTCTCCACTCCATGCAGACATCCTGTCGAACCAATCAATGCACATGTACTTTGTACTTTCCATTGAGCTGTGGGGGGCAGAAAAAAGGCATTTTTTGTCTGATAAAATCATTTGCTAAATGCAACTACCCTCCTAATTGAAGGACGTTTTCCATTGTGTGTAATAGCCTGTGCTAACACAACATCACTCACTGGTCAGTATGATTGTAAAGGGATAGAAACTCCACAGTAAATTTCCAGAAACTTTCCAAGGGAGCTTTAGGTTGGACATTTTGGAAATGTTCCTTCAGATATGCAGGTTATTTTTCAGTTTTAACAAGATGCAAAAGCATGCAAGCCACTGCATACTGAAGCTGAGGGTTCTTCAAAATATTTACAAAATACATGTTATATCAAATTGTGGTATGGTTGAAGTAAACTGTCTATCAGGAGTCAAAAGAAACAGCATCACAGATAGAAAACACTTTACACCTCCCATAGCAGGATAAATGATATAATAGAGTTTACATTCAAAATATCTAGTTTACCAGCTAGCTAGCTACAGCATGAATATGAAGTAGTGCATTTATTTTAGCCAAGATTATGCTATAATTCATTTAGAGTCCTTAAATTTTGAAAATGTCAAATTAAATGTAATGTGAATTCCCATTAACCACCATAAATTCCTTGTTAATTCCCATGGAAAGTTTCCAACTTTGGAAATTGCCGGGACTTTGCAATCCTACTGGCCAGTGAATCATTCTGCTGCATGTGCCGTCTCATCCTCCACCGTCCGTCCTGTGCCGTTTTAACTGTAGCTCATGCTGTCTATGGAAGCACTCTGTTGTTATTCAGTCGCCATTTTCATCTTTTTGGACATAAACATATCATTTCTGGGAATTTGAAGTAAAAAACCACATCAGCTTCCTCATTTAGAGCCACACTAGTTTTGTTACGTAATGTCCTTAATGCAGTATTTTGACAATAACATGTGCTGACTGACTGTCACATATCAGTCATTTAACTAATACATTACAGCAGTAGTTTGAATTCAATAACAGAATCTCTTCCATACTTACAGTAGATGCTACTCTGTTTTCTTTCAACTACAGCTGCAGGCTGATCTGTTCTTTTCTGCTGCTCTTGTCTCTCTGTCTTTCCTTCTTTCTTTCTCTCTTTCTTTCTTTTTATTTCTTTCTTTCTTTCCTTCTTTCTCTCTGGCTTTCCTTCTTTCTTTATGTCTTGTCTATGTGTCTGCTTGCCTGTCTTTAGGTTCAGATAGTGCACAAAAAGCTGGACTTCAGCCATGTCACCTCTCGCTGTGGCTCCAAGGACAATATCAAACATGTCCCTGGAGGTGGCAAAGTAAGTACTGCTGGAGCAGAAACCATCATCTGTGTAAGGGTGGATGCAGACCGAGTAAACCTAGGAGGTGATACCTCACTGCGTTGGGCTGTATTTATGCATAAGAATGACTGGAATGTGACTTTTAAAACAAGCATGTTCAGATCATCTAGACTCTTCATCCTGGCTTTAACAACTATTGGCATTGAATCCAGTTATGATAAGTTACTTTTCTTCCTCAAATCTTCCTTGATTGATCTGGGGAATCTAATCTAAACAACCATCCAGACGTGAGACAAATGGAGCTCAACTATAAAGCCGATCATTTCCAAAGAAACTCAAATGAACGGGTGAATTAGCACTTCAGTGGCTTCCCTCCGGCTGCCCTTCTGATTGATTTCACACTGAGTGAACTGACCACAGGTCCTCGTATCCACTCTTCAGATGTGGTTTCTCTGCTCTCAACACCTGCACTATCTTGTTCCATTTCACCGCTGCTCTCACAACCTCCACGTTTGCCATCACAGCTCAATTAACAAACCAGAAAGACACAACCAATCAGATGGACTGATTCACATTGCCAGCAACTGCTCACTTTCAAAACTCTGGAAAAGATTTTACAGCCCTCTGGTGATTGCACAGTTATGTTTTTCCTTTTAAAGTAGAAAATACTAAACATGTTTGTGGTCAATAAAAACAATTTAATTGTGTGATTATTTTTCTTCATGTGCCCGAGTCAAAAAGCAACACATCTGAAAATCAAAGAAAGCTACTTGCCTGTTTTCTGCAGTTTGCCACCTAAAAATCTGCTCTGTTCCCACTCTTACTTCTCTTAATTTAAATGATTAAATGATTTACATATAACAAGCACCTAATGCAATACAAGCATGGATACAAATGGCTGTATGTTGTTGAATTCAGATTTTATATTACTAGTCATAGCTTGATTAAATATATTCATGTAAAGTGATACAAAGGACTGAAATCCCACTAATATTCAAATTCAAGTTATTGAGGTTTTTCTTTCATTAATAGTCTGTTCTTAAATGATTGGACAAACCATCAAGTAGTCGATTGTGTCACAATCTTGAAAATTGATTTGTCAAAGCTTTGGGTTGGGCAGGCTAATGCAGATGAAAATGGTTTGTGTACGGATGGTCATAGATGGCTCCCATTTGTCATCTCATGTCTAATCTGACTAATCTGAGCTCACCCTGTCAGCCAGGGGACCAGATCTTCTGCCAGTGGAGGTCAGCTTTGGCAGACGACTCAGAAGAAGGAAAACACTTTTTTTATGCCTTTACAGTGAACTAATAACTGTTCATAAATCAGTCAAAGGTTGTCCTGAACGTTTTGTATGACTGGACCACCATTTCCCAGTGTGATGAAACAAAAAGGCCCCCTTCAAAACAGGTTAAAGAGGGTCCATGCTGTCTGTCTAATGCTTCCGCCTTTAATATTGCAAAACGAAATGTGTAAGTGAATAGAAATAAATCAGGTGCATGATAATAAAGGACAGTTTGAATGAAGGCGGTGGAAACCAGCAAACCCGCGTCCTTTTAGATTCGGTGTCTTAATGGGCAGCATTTTGTTGTCTTCCTTTCTCCAGGTGCAGATCTTGAATAAGAAGGTTGATGTGAGCAAGGTGACATCCAAATGTGGCTCCAAGGACAACATCAAACACAAGCCAGGTCTTAACTTTTAAACTTAAGCACCTCCCCGTGTTTCATCCTTTAAAAAATCCTCTTTTGCTCCACTCTGCTCTCACACTCTGCGTTTTTACCCCAGGTGGTGGAGACGTGAAGATCGAGTCCCATAAGCTAAACATTAAAGCTAAGTCTAAGATCGGGTCCCTAGACAACGTGGGGCCGGGCAGCGGGCAGACCAATGGACACAAGGTTCAAATCTCTATTTATTTATTATTTTTTCCACCTAAATCTTTCAAACGCTGACTCATTGTGCAGTTACGAGGTGGTACCACTAGATGGTGTGCTTACTGTGGTTAAAATGCCCCCCCCCCCCTTGTGTGTGTTCTATATTTGGCTGCAGGAGGAGAAAACGGAGGGTAAAACATCACCTCCGAGCGGCGCTCCGACAACAGGACCCGCCGCAGGCGTTGCCAAGGCAACGGCACCAGGAGATGTTGCTAAGGAGAACGGCACGAAGGAGCCCACACCCAATCCGTTTGGGGGGGACGGACTGAGGGAGCCCCTTAGCTTAGACAAACGTATCGCTGAGACAAGTAGGTGCAAACACAGCCGTGCTGGCAGGTTTAGAGTTTAACCAGACCACTGATTTAAGAAACTATAGTAGGAACTAATTATACTGAACAAATGTTCACCCTGAACACAACTAACTCACACCAGGCTTCAACATGTGGAACAATTCGCCAGGATTACATGATTTTTACTTAGATGTTACCCTAAAATTACTGATCAGGAAAGAAATAGTGGTGAGTAGCCTTAATATAACATTGAATTGAAACCTTTAAATTATTTCCAATATTGATAATATTGCACCATTATTACACCTAATTAATGGACAAAATAGTGGAGTTCTTAGCATATGATTTTTTCTGATTTTAACCCTTAAACACATTCTACAAATGCGAAATCATCTCTGCATATTCATCCTTTAAAGCTAGTCGTTTGACAGACCCTTATGAAAGAAATGTTGGAACTAAACAGCAGATGTACCGTTTGTGCCCTATAAGGAGTGGGACACTACCTTAGAATAAAAGCCACATAGAGGATTTAGCTTCTGTAATCTCAGGAATAACTTACTCTCTGTAGCAGTCCCTCAAAGTGCTTCTGTTCTGTTGTCACTGTAAAATGTAATTTTAAAGAAATCCACCCAAAGATTATCACCAAAGAAAGTCTAAAAGATCAAATGGTGATGTTTTCTCTGAAATAAGTCATATGTGCTCACCTGAGTTCTCAGCTCTCAGTCTACAGCACCTGTCTGCACCAGAGGTAAAAATAGCCATCAAATAAAATTATGAGGAGACCTACAGAGAAGAGATTAACCGGTCTCCGAGGATTCATTCGTCTGTGGCACTGCAGCAGACCTCCAGACTCACAGACTCCGAATGGTGTTGTCAAACTCCCGCTAATTGATGGACGATTGTAGAGTTAATACCATAAAAACAAGAACAGTTTGCTCTTTAATTCAGCAGACGGTCACGGCTCATAAGGCAGGAAACCATCTGGCTGCTTCCGTTTAATCTACAACGTCTCCTTACGATCTTGTTAGGATTTGGCTAAAATTACTCACCTTAGCATAGTATGCTATAACATAATCTAGGTTAATTACTGATTGTCTTATTCTTTTTAGAACTATACCTTTTGTTAAAGTCTCTGGCTGTAACCACAGGCTCTCCTTTTCTCTCGTTTTCTTTCTTTGTAGTATTAAATCCACCTTTAGATCAACACATAAACACTATTGGAATGTGGTATTCCAATGTTATCTACATGAATTAGGACCTGGCCTGTTTATGCCCAGAGCTAACTCGCCAATAGGACTTGGTTATGTCCAGTCCTCCCTTGAAGAGGCGCTGATACACTTTGCCTGTGACCTAAAAAATTTCAATTTTTTACTCTTGATCTACTCTGGTTTATTCTCAGGTTTCCAGCTAAAGAATCGGGCTAACACTGTTGAGTTTTCTGAGTTTTGTTTTGTTTTTCCACAGACTGAATCGCGGCA